GGATGAGTTGATTCTACTGGCCGAGGGAGGCGGCGTACGTCTCGCTGTTTTCCGCCATCACTATATTCTCACCCATAGCTAGGTCTGGAGCTCTTACAGCGTGCTCAACGTCCTGTACTCGCTCATCCAAAAATCGAAAGTGAACGAGTACATCAGCGCTCAGCAGGCCGGGAAATCTGCTGATGAGATCGCGTACGTGTTTCGCGTGGGTACGTCGTACGCAACTGACCGTTTGATGCAGTGAGATTGTTGGCGAGTATGGTGTCTTCCCTCTCTACCGCATGCTCGGCTACTTCAGCATCATTGGACTGCTACGCGTGCACGTGCTCCTCGGGGATTTCACGCTGGCGCTCAAGGTGATGGAGAACGTCGAGCTGAATCAGAAAGTAGGTGCAGTCGCGTATGGCTTGAACGCTTGCTAACCTTCGCCACAGTCGCCTTTCACGCGTGTAACAGCATGTCACGTGTCTACCTACTACTACGTCTCGTTCTGTTACATGATGCTCAGGCGCTACCCAGACGCGATCCGCACGATAGTGACGATCCTCAACTTCATCATGCGCATGCGACAATACCACACGCGGAGCTACCAGTACGACCAAATCAACAAAACGGGCGATCGAATGTACGCCATGTTCGCGATGTGCAACGCGCTGTCGCCGAGCAGATTGGACGACAACATTGCCAATATCGCAAAAGAGAGATACGCAGATGCGTATACGAAGATGGCTCGTGGAGGGTAGGAGATCGTCCGTGGGCTCCTGAACGCTAGATGCTGATCTATATTTTTGGGACATTTCTAGTGACGAAGCGGTACCGGCATTCGAGGAACTCTTCATTCACGCCTGCCCCAAGTTCATTACTGCTAACCCTCCGCCATACGACGATCCCCAGGCCCTCTCCGTCCTGCTCTCCCCATCCTCGCCGTCCCCCAACACCCCCGCCCCCTCCGTCCAACAAGACTCATCGCAGCGCCACCTCGCCCTCTTCCTCGCCGACGTCAGCGCATCCGCGCAAGTCCCCACACTCCGCAGCTTCCTCAAGCTCTACACCAGCCTCGGGACATCCAAGCTAGCCAATTTCCTGGACACAGACGAGGAGGAGATGATCCAAGAGATGATGGTTATGAAGCAAGCTAGCCGGAGCGTGAGCAGGGTCGTAGGCGGCGAGGGCACCCACTCTGGTGCAGGCGGCTCGAAGGGCCTGCTCGACGGCGAGACAATATCAACAAGCGACCTAAACTTCGTCATCGACGGCGTAAGCATCTTTTCATTTGCCCTACTCATGTGCACTTTTTCTAATTCTAACGGCCGGCCTTGCCTCTTTTCTTTGTCTAGGACATGGTGCATATCGCGGAATCGACCATCGGGCGTCGCTACGCCGGTTGGTTCATAAAAAATACCGAACGGGCCCAGCGTATCTTTGACGATTTGCGGAATATGCCTCTACCTCAAGCAAAATTGACCGCTCCAGGGGCGACCCCGGCGCCTACAGGCGCACACGGGGGTGATGGAGGGAGGCAACAGCAGGATGGTAGGAGAGGCGGTCAGAGAGTCGCATGGGGAGGTGTGAAGGTGGGTGCATAAAAGCGGATGCGAGATTGACGCATCCTGTACCATGCTGCCGTAGAGGTGTAGAGTGCCCAATGTATCATCTCAACTGTTTAACGAATAGCAGGTGTCCTTAGCGCGAGCGCTTAAGCTTTTGACCTGCTGGGCCACAATATACAAGCAGTAAGACGGCGATCGTTTTGTTATGACTTGAGTATAATTGGTACGTGGCGTATTCTATCCCCAGCAGGTTCCCTAGTATCTGATCTAGTTTCGCCATTGTCTATCTTGAAAGCTATCGCCTCAACCGTCGACCGTTGCCTCAATTATGTCGCTGGGATTGCCGAAGGGACCTGCAATTCCAGTATCGTAGCCGTTGTGACCACCGTCGGGTTTAGTTAAACGTCTAGGGACCAGACGTTATGTAACACCAACGAGTTCCAGCGACCCCAACCCCTACGATCTCGCCCTATATGCCAAATCGTCGCGGCCGACACCCACTAGCCACCATAATGATCGCATCACCTCGCTACTACGAGGAGCCCCTCATCTGGAACCCTGGGAAGACGTGAGACTCGACCACCTCTGGACAAGCGCAGTCCATTCGCAGACTGGCATTGCATGACCAATGTAGGGTATCCGAGCTCAACAACAAAAGGTAAGCACAATGGTCGGACATAAGGCTTTGCAATAGCTTATGCTTACGAGCCATTAGGGATCGGTTTGCCTGATCCATGCCTTCACTAACTGCTTGGAGCTCTCCTGAGCTTCGAGCTTTGCCCTTTCCTCCATCTCTTTCTGTCGTTGCTCCTCCTCCACGATCGAGGAGCCTCGGAAAAATAAATGTAATCCAAGGATCATGTCAAGCGAGGACTGTCCATTTTCCTCTTCGTGATGATGGCGCTCACGCCTACGAACCTTGGCTTCCTCATCAACTGGCTTCTGTTGTTCGCTGCGATTATAGAGCAAAGGCCTGCGACGTGCGATAAACGGATCAAAGGCTTCACGGCTGGCCTTTCCAAAGGTAGAGATGATGTTCGACACATAGGAAATGTGCAGTAAAAAGTCGAGAGGCTTGAGCTCGGGGCTTTTCGCTGTTGCGCAAAGTCAATAATGCAGGGTGGGAGAAAGATAGGAGGACTACATACACGACGGTGCCCCAGCTACGGAGAACGGGTAAGTAAGACTAGTATAGAGCCACGTCACGAATGCGCACCCGGCGTCACATCATCCGAGGACTGCGAGGAAACTGGGGAGGCTTGGAAGGGTGTATAGCCAGGTAGGCCCGAACCATGAGCAAGGTCTGAGCGCTGGTTGTGGAATGGTTCATATCCCGCAACGAAAGCGTGAGTGGTGACACAGTAAGTATCACTACCTATATGTGCGTCTATATGTACGTCGGTGGTGTTGAGGTATATATTGGGTGTCTGCATTGGCTTCATTAGTCCCTGGTCAAAGTACGATGTGAACATCTACCTTGAGAAAGCCCAGCGCGTACTGGTCGAAGGATGCGCGATGATTTGCACTGGCTAATATCAGGTTACCAGGGTCATCTATATCAATAACCTGATGGCCAGCTCCACGAAGAATAGTCTCCAGGTACTGCGAAATCATTGGTATATGGTGTTCACAAACAGAAATAGCGACTGACCTGGGATCCTTTACAGTGTGGAACTAAGTGGCAAACATTGCATATACCAGGGAGCAAGTGGGAGAACGGGCAACCTCTGTAGTGCTCCACAATCTGCTCTCGAGAGGTTGTCCGAACTGAAGATTCATTGGAGTGGATGGCATGGTTCCGTGTCTCTGGGTCGATGAATTCAATGTCTCCGATGGGTACAAAGACGTAAGAGTCGCCGTCCATAACAGGATCATCCATATTGCATTCCACTTTGCCTTGGACTGTATCGAGTTTGAAGAGCCCACCCTCGACATTGCAGGTGATATGTGCGACGAAGCGAAGCCATTTCCGCGGCTTGAGAGCAAAAGTGCACATTCTATCGCTGGGTACATTGAGGAGAGGTAGATTGTGTGTTTGCCCCTCAATGGTCGCTTCCACGAGCAGACAGATGGAAGTCATTGTGGAAGAGTCTGCTGCCCCTATCCTCAGGAGGGCGAGAAAGGAGTAACTTGGTTAGGGTTAGGGTTACAATGTCCTTTTACGCTTTGATCACTGTATACTGATATTGACTGGAATACATGTTATTCGGTTCTAAACTGGCTCATGTATTTTGCCTGGCCTAGCCTACAGCATGACAGAAGAACAGACGAAGGATATCAACAAATAAAGATGGACAGCTTGAAGAAAAAGGAAACGAACGGGAGGGACAAAGGAACGGAACGATATACAACTGATATCAACTTTGGCCGCCTCGGTGACATGCCAGCAATCGTCGCGAGTGCGGATGACATCGACGACATTTGGTTTGCTACTTACTTTTCATATTGCAGAAACTCGCTATCCCGCGCGGCACCGCCGCCGAAGTTGTACCCCACGCCGGGGCCGAAGATGCCTGCATTTGGGTTGTACCGCGAGAGCGGGCCTCTGAAGATGTGCTTGCGCCCGCGAGCGTTCTCGGTGATGGTAAAGCGGATCGTGAAGAGTGTGATCAAGAAACCTGCAAGAGATCGGTCTCAGTTAGTTGGCTTTCCGTTGAAATCAAGACGGGGCTCGTACATAGAACCCATTCGACCCAGACGAATGCCTTGAGCGCCTGGAGGTTCTTGCACCACGCGTTGTCTTCAGAGAACTCGGCCGGGATGGCATCGCACTCGAGGGGGACGAAGCGCCAGCGGGAGGTGGAGAATGCGTTGAACGCTGTAGCAATTCGCGATTAGACTTACATTCGAGGACGAGGCCATCGCGAAAAGGCACTCACCCAACCAAAACACACTCAATATCGCAAACAGCGGGATCGTGAACTGGGGCCTGCCCGAGTAATTCTCCGCAATGGCGAAATCAATGATGAACCTTCGCAAGTCAACGTCAGGATGCAAACACGGTAGTTGGGTGTGAACGTACAAGGCTACGAGGATGACCAGAGTCGTAATGGAAAGACCGAGGGGAAAGAGGTCCGCCATGACTACGTTGGCAACCAGCCTCAGCACCGCAACTGGACTCGGATTGTCAAGGGGGCACTTACAGAAGTATTCCTGAAAGTCATTGACCTTTATCGCAAGCGCGAGTACGACGAGGTTGACCACAAAGAATGTAACTGTCGTTAAGCATTGCGCCTCAGACAATCAAGCTCATACGATGGGAACGTTACGCACGATGAGCCGCAAACTGCTTGCGACCGACGGGGGACAGGGCCATAATTAAAATAATAACGTTACACAGAAAGGGAGAGGACAGAGAAGGGGAAAGTTGGAATCATATGGTGGTAACCACCGTTGCTACTCCGTCGCTACGAATCGTTACGAAAAATTCAAAAATCATCGAAATCCCCCTGCATCAAGCGAGAATTGAACTCGCGGCGGGTCGATGTTCGATGGCAACGACCCAGGTTACCACTACCCCATTGATGCGATGAACTATCAGTCTCATCTTAGATGCAACTGCTGCAGCTGCTGTGGAAGAAGATCGTTTCCAGAGACCGCCTCTACTCTCGCAATAAAATATGAAGGTGTACCGTATCTAATGTCTACGTCGTGCCAATCTCTTTCCAAGTCGTCGTTGCGAGACCTGCAGCCTCTTAGATGCGTGATGGTCTTCCTTGTCGTCCATCATTGCCAACGCTCTGTCCTCCGGCATCCGCGCCAACTGCGCCTTGCTTCGGACTCTTGGTCGGTTCTTGACATACCACTCCCAAGCGAACCGCACAATTTCACCGTCAGCAGCGTACGGCGTGGGGATCTCCGAGTACCCCGGTCGCGCAGTGGGGTGGCGGACGTAGATGGCGGAGCACGTCTTGAAGTTCGTTTCTATGTACGCTGGGATGAACATCCATGGGGAGGCGTATGGGGGGAGGTAGAACGGTGTGAGGCTCCGGTTATCCTCACGGGGTGCATCGGTGACGGCGCTAGAGGGTTGGTCTAAGAGTCTGGGGAGCGGTGTGTCGTGCGCGCCAGTCGGTGTCTTGAAGAATCGAATAGCGTCGGGGTTTACGGACACCATGTCCCCAGGTGCAAGACGGGTATTGGCGTTTTGATGCTAGAATATCATTCACACGGAGGTCAACTTCCGAGATAGCAGTATAGCGCACCTTCTTGCCATTGAGCATGACATCTCCGTGAATCACCAAGCGGCGCGCCTCGTAGACGCTGTGCACGAAACAGCAGCGGAAGATAAACACGTCTATCCGTCTCTCCACTTCCGAGAACATCAGACTCCCGACTGGAGCCATGCCCTTCTTTTCCACCTCTTCCTCCAAGGCCTTCTCCTTATTTTTCCGCAATGCAAATGCCTCTAGGTCGGTGCTGTCGTCCCCCAGCACTTTTCGCCGCGGGCGCACATCCGGGAGTGTTTCGGGAAGGTACCACCGCTTGAAGATTTTCTCGTTGATATAGTCGCCGTGGTACGCCCGCACAACGGCCTTGGAGACCCAGCGCTGTTGGAAAAGGGATTTATGGGTGCGAGTGAACTTCAACTCGTCCGCTCGAGAACCTTTAGAACGCAGCCAGAGGTTGTACAGGTTCTTCGGTGTCCAACTCTGTAAAATGATCGGTCAGAGTTCGTATTGAACAAAGAAGACGGATTGAGCACATACCATACGAGGCAGAGCTCGTTTTATTGAATATATCCCCGCATCCTTCATTTTGACAGTGAACTACAACTCAGTGGTAGGTGAAATAGTTGAGGCGCCCAGACTCGACGCGACGCGGATCGATCGTGAGAAATTCGTGGGAGTTGTACAGGGAGATCCTATTTTTCCAAGGGGGCCACGACCTGTAGCTAATCCTTGACTCCCAGTGAATCAACCACTTAAATATATAGTCGCCGAATAAATACGCTAAATATCCCAGAATCCAATATCTATCCCACTGTACTTGGTGATTCTTGTCCGCCACAAGTTCATCATCTACAACAGGCTCAAATTAACGGGCGAGCAGCCAACGGCGATGAGACCATCTGTAAGATTATCAATAGCGGTTCACCACACAACGGAGTAACCTTCAACTTACCGAAATGAACATTTTCGCAGCAGGCGGTTTGAGCCGTGCTGTAATACAAGTGAAATGGTCTACATCAGGCTTGCCTCATCTAGTATGGTCGTTTAAGGACTTACCAGGAATTCCCGGACAGGAGGAGAGGACTACATTGAATTCCAATGTTGCCAGTCAAACCCCCAATGAGACCCTTGACGAGGCCAAAGTGCTCCAACCCAAGGAGAAGGTTGTTGACGTGTGGTTGTGTGCTGTGCTCAACGCTGTTGCAGCATTGTACCTTCCCAGTGCTGCACGTCCCGATTGGGACTGCAGGGGCGACCGGGGCAGCCGTCCCGCTGCTGCACGTCTTGCTCGTTCGGCAGTCGGCTGTGGGGACAGCGGCGGCGAGACCGGCGAGCGCGGCGAGGACAGTCACAATGGTAGCGGATTTAGCGAACATTGTCAGTGAGCAGGGGGGTGATCCAAGTGATTCAGGAGAAGTACTTTGGAAGGAAGGCGGTGTAGGAGGGACCTGGCCATCTCCTCCGGAATTCTATGATGCTTTTGAGTATGCGGGATCTTCTTCCATTTGATGTCGGGATGGAGATTGACATTTTAGCCAGCGCACCTATGAGTCTGCTAGAGCCAGTTTAAAGGTTAGCGCTGCAGGCGGACTCTATACTTCCATACTAACAGGGAGGATTCATCCGTCGGGTAGAGCCATAGGGTGAGTCTACTTCAGACAACGTCCGCTGCGCTCCACCGGAACCATGCCACCTATATACCACAATATAGCAGATGGATTGTTGCCAGCGATGGTGCCAGATGGATTGGGTGTTATGGACGATCTCTCCTGAAGAAGTTCAACGTGAAACATACATGACGGAAGTAAAAGAAGTTGCGAAACTCAATTTGGGATTTCTTGGCACCGTTGTGACCTCTCTTCGTGCGTATGGAAGTCGGGCTGGGAGGGTATGGTCCGCCACGGTACTCAATGGGCGGTAACTACTATATGGACAGTACGTGTGATAGTTGCATACTGACTTGACAGTTGCCTCAACACGGAACGGTCGAATAAATTCATATTCGTACAATTCAGACTTCAAGCGTGCAAGCTGATGACGGAGTAGGTATTCATTACGCCAATAAAAATACAGGAGGAGTGACAAGTAAGGAGTAAGGAGTGTGGCTACAACGAGGTTGAATCCATTCTGTACAAAGATAATACTCCAAGGACATCTAGAGGACGCTGAGGTTGACGGGTGTGCAGCCAACGGCGACCTTGCCGTCTGAATGAGAAACAACCGTAAGCATGCCGAATAAATAGAAACAAAGTAAAGAGCGGTCCCACCAAAGGTGACGTCGTCGCAGCAGACAGTTTGAGCGGTACTAAGAGAGTGTGAATACGAAAGCCGCACGCGACAGTCAGATATTATAGCATACCAGTCTGTGCTGGAAAGGCCGATAGGGCTGCATCCCAAGCCGATGTTCCCCACCAATGTCTCGATATCCAGGCCCAAAAGACCCGATCCTCTCGCCAGAGTGTTTGCGTGAGGCTGGGTGTGGTGCTCGACACTGTCGCAACAGTGGACCGGGCCGGTCGAGCAACTACCCGCACCATGGAGTGCCATAGGTGAGGCCACCGCGAAGGACGCGAAGGCGGCAGCAAGGAGAACCATGGATTGAGAGTACATTGTTGGTTAGGGGATGATTACTCCTGTTGGGGTAGCAAAGGCTTTTGATGACCTAGCTATACCGCACATGCTTTAGGCGATCTTTAAAGGAAGGGAAGTGAGGGACACGCGGAACTTCCATTCAATCTGTGAGGCCATTCTTGTTGTTAGCATAGTGAAAGCCAAGAGCTGGTCTGCACCTGAGCTACTAGTGTGCATGTTAATTTAGACGACAGTGAGCAGGTTGGCGCACCGAATATATTTGGGCAGGACTGCGACTTAATGACAAGGGCCACTTGACGAGTGCCAGCGAAAGTAAGACATGTCAATTTGCGACGTCGAATTCATTTCGACTGGTCACCACTTACTTTTGGTGCGTACGTCGTTATAGCTATACTGTATCACCGCGATGCACCTTTCGACCCAACTTGAATTATCCGTGAGGGTACAAATGTATTTCGGTTCTAGCCTGCAATCTTGTTAGTTCCTGAGTTAGGCTTTTAGCTATACCGAATTACACAGCAACTCGCTTCAGCAAGGTTTGCACTTTTCAAGTTCGATTTTTCGAATGCATCGCCAGCATTGGCCGCCACTTCAACTTGGGCATGGTCACCCGTTCAGCACGTCACACGTCACGCGTAGATTCAGTCACACCCGCTGTCGCGCCGCGCCGACGGTCCTTCGTGAGTTCTCCCAGTCATGGACCATTACCCTCTGCACTCAAGATCTAGCGGCAGAAAAAGCGAGACAAGTGTCTCGCAGAAAGAATACACAAAGGCAAGACTCGAGGCTCACCGACTCTTCCCAATACCAATCCCGACCCTAGGTTACCACGCGACGCGTCAATGCAGAGATAGTTGACAGTGATCACATCTACCGTGATGGGTATGGGACGAGTGAGTGTACTGCATACTTCTTTGAGGGGCTCGTGCTGATTATGGTGCGCAGACGAACAGTCCTTCATCGCTGAAACCTCCTTCGTCCGGGCACCTTTGAACTCGCGCGTTGTATCAAACCAAGCAGTACCGAAGCTCAAGGGGAAGGGGAAGGCCAAGCAGGAGGACCTGAGCCATGTCCCGCTGGAAATACAAGAGTCATTCATTCTGGAGGATCTGCTGTATGTACTGATGGTACGCAAGTTCAGGGAACTGCCATTGTGACTTTCATCAATCATTCCGACAGGGTATCGAATCGACGTACATTACATTTCACACTGACCACTCTGTCGAGGATAATGACCCTCTTCGAGGCATACGATTCGCGGTGTCACCATCATTAGGCGCGTCTTGGGTTCTGTTCTGCTGTTAGGCATCTAATCAACGATACGTGTAGATCCATCTTTGCGAGACCTAGTTGAACGTATACTACCACTGGGGACTTATTATACCGCCATATCAGCATTTGTTGAAGATCGAAGTCATCTAGATTTCGGATTAGTCAACCATGCGCTATGTGCTGCAATCCGCGATATGCTCAAGGCTCGTGTTCTATTTCCTGTTGTCCAAACGTCCTCTGAATCGGTGGCGTTAGGATTATCAAACGCTTCTCTCCCAGCTAGAACATGCGTTCAACACGTCCCCCCAGTTTTCCCTCCAAAAGTTGTGGTTCTACATCCATCCCACAGTCCATACGCTTTCCCTCATCTATCAACTTGTCCTCGAATTCTGCACCGCCGATGATCCTGCCGCCGACTCTTCTTCGTCCTCCTCCGATGAATCGTCTATTGATCCAGAGGAAGAAGCGCGAAATGAAGCGCTCGGCCTCGGTGGGGCTAAGCTCAAAGCCGTCTTGTCCGAAATAGACAAAAAGGGTATAGGCAACGATGGCACTTCAATAGCAGTCAAAGGAGGAGAGGTGCTGAGTATCATTTATGATCGGATGAGGAATATGTCCGGAGATCCAACAGCCCTCTCGGTGTACGGAACGTTACTTCAAGCAGCTGGAAAACCGTATATATCCATGTTGAGAGTGTGGGTCACAACTGGACGTTTGGCAGACCCCTACGAGGAACTGCTGGTTAAAGAGAGCAAGTTCATCAATCGCGGCATCCTTGAGTCGGACTACACGGATGAATACTGGGAGCGCCGTTATACAGTAGGTCAAAAGCGCAACAACTTAATTATACTTGTTCACTAAAGTTCGTGTAGCTACGCGATGGATCTACGCTGAATACGAAACGCCAACAAGCTGGAGTACCTCCACCTCGGACACTCGGCGGTCGATTACCAGGAGGAGCATGTATTCCTCCTCTCCTTGAAGGGTGGAAGCATAAAATTCTACTCGCGGGCAAGTATCTCAACGTCATACGAGAATGCGGAATTGAAATCAGCCGGAACACGTCTCAAACGGATGTCGACGATGTGTCAATGGAGGATGAGAGGTATGTGGCTCACTAACTATAATACTTACCTGTGTAAACCAACCAATCCAGTTTCTATCAGTTCTTGCAGGACGCCTATGCCCACGCGAATCAAACTCTGCTTCAGCTACTATTGAAGGACTTAGAGCTCATCCCCCGTCTCCGCTCGCTAAAACGGTACTTCTTCCTGTCTCAATCTTCATTCCTTACGCAACTCCTCGACCTTGCTCACTCTGAGCTACGCAAGTCAGCGAAATCCGTGTCGATTGTGAAGCTGCAAAGCTTGCTCGATATTGCGTTGGGTGCAGAAACGCAGGGCGAGGATGCGTTGTATAGGGAAGACGTGAAGGTCATCATGGCAGGTAGCGGGCTGTATGAATGGTTGATCAAAGTTGTTAGTGTGAATGGGTCCATTGGTCCTGAGGAAGGAGAGGGTGGAATAGGCGGCATACCCCTAGATGATCATAAGAAGGAGAAGGATAGGGATAAAGACGACAAAAAGCCGATGCAAGGTATGGCGTCTGCTACACTTTTCTTCTGAGTTTATTAATAATGTCTCTTCTAGCGATTGATGCTCTTGCGCTCGACTACAACGTCAAATTCCCCCTGTCCTTGGTCGTTTCTCGCAAAACCATCCTCCGATATCAACTTCTCTTCCGTTTCCTGCTCCATCTCAAACACCTTGAGCAAGCGCTGTCGTCGATGTGGATAGAACAGAAGACTGGTCCGTGGCGCCGCCCTCTACCCGAGCATCGCGATTTCGAGCAATGGCGACTACGCGTCTTTCTTCTGCGAGCCCGGATGTTGTCGTTTGTTCAACAGATCATGTGCTTTGCAACCTTTGAAGTCTTGGAGCCGAACTGGCGTGCCTTGGAGGAAAAGTTGAAGAAGGTAACAACAGTGGATCAGCTCTTACGAGACCACGTTGATTTCCTGGATACATGCCTGAAGGAGTGCATGTTGACAAGCTCCAAGTTGCTCCGAGTACGCACTGCGTTCCGCACTCTTATCTTCGCTGACGCTGCTGACTGTTTCCCTCAAGGCTTACTCTAAACTCATATTAACGTGTTCAACATTTGTCTTATATACTTCGTCGTTCACGAAGTCAGCCAACCAAGCGATCGCGGACATAGAGGCGGGAGATGGCGATCGGGGTATGGCCAAACGATGGGATGTTCTAGGGAAATTCGAAGCTAATTTCGATTGCTGGTGCGTTTTGTTTCGATTTCTGCTCCTCTGTGTACTGAACGTATACTGTTTAGGTTTAAGGTAAGCACGATCAAAGGAAGCGGCAGAGGGCAGCTACTAACCTGTGTTGGGCATAGGTCCATCTCGACTGCGTCCAGTTCTACGCTTCTAGCGAGAACGTGTCGCTACTTCCGCTCGTCGTTCGCCTCAATAGCATCAAAGCACAAAGTTGAATTGAGATCGAAGGCGGCCATTGTATTGTTATCGTCATATTGATTTATGTTCTCCTTGCTATCATATGCATCTGTGTATCCATCTGAATTATCCGCCCGAATGAATGGATGATATCCATGTTACCAAAGTTTACGGTTGCCGCAGCAGTCTAGCGCAGTTGCAGTCCAGCGGAAGTAATAATTGTCGTCACGTGTGGGATGGAACAACTTGACCTCGAGTGTCGCTCTCCTCCTGCACTTCACCATGTCCTTAGCAAAACTCACTTCAACATCAACGCAGACGCTGTCGCTACTGCTAGAGCGACAGCGGCTCCAGACGTTCCCCGCGTTCTCAGCGTCACCAGATGCCGCCTCCGACCCACTGCATCTGCCACAAATCAGGAAAAACATGGGCCAGCTGAGGGCTGGAATACTTGACATGGAGGCCAAGGAGGGTCGCACCCAATCAGCGCAGCTCCTGCGGAATCAGTACGGGAGGATGCGCGCGATGTTGGGCAATGATGCAGGTTTGGTGGAACCGTGAGTTTCGAGCCTCCAGCAGGCGTTCAGTGCTCTGCGAGGGTCGGGCCACTAATACGGTGGATGTGTAGACTCGATAATCCGGAGTCGTCGACGTCGACGTCGAGGGCAGAGTCTGAGCTGCCTTTGATTCCCCCGCCTCCACCCTCAAAGGACACAGAACCCATGTACACGCCTTACACGGATGACCCACAAGGGGACGCCGATCCTGGCATCATGCTACAGACACAAAGACGCCTCATGGATGGTGAGTCTTGTCTTACGCCCGCGCGCTAGGCTTCATGTAACGTATAAACTCTTCTCCGTGTTCTCTGTTCATTAGAGCAAGACGAGCATCTTGACCGCCTATCGCAGTCGGTTGGACGACAACATCATATATCCCTTCAAATAAACGATGAACTGGATGTCCATACGGGGCTGTTGCAAGAACTTGATACTGACTTGGACCAGACGGGGAACAGACTAACGAGCGCGCGGAGACGCCTTGACCGGGTGGCCCGCGGTGCCAAAGAGAACAGTGCGTGTACCTTTAGTTCATCGTTTATAGCACAATTTATGTTTGGAATTAGGTTCAGCCATGGCTATCGGCTTGCTTATCCTCATCCTACTGTTGCTGATCATCATCTTCAAAACATGAAATGCATGCACCTTCTGCCCAGCATACTATATCGATATTCATGTTATACCATTCTACTCTATCCACCTATCCGGAATCGACACCTAATATCTTCCAGAACGCCTTTCCAATCACACTGACGCCGTCGTTGCGCCAATCTTCCCTCTTTCTATAATCTTCCACCATTGATTCCCCAATGACGCCGTTCTTCGAACGTGCTTCGACAATTGCATTGACGATGGGCTTAGTGAACTCGGGGTGCCCTTGCACGGTGATTATGCGTATGTCGGTCAAGCCATGGCTTCCTTCATCCGAAGTGTACTGCACCATCCCTTGGTTGTAAGCTACCGTCGTAGACCCAAGAAGCGTGAAGCCAGGCGGAACGGCGGGTACGTGATCCCTGTGCATTTGGTGGATATTCTACGTAGCTTTCAGCCCATCCGTCAAGAGCACGTTGAAGCGAGTTAGACTGACTAGTTTCTGCACACCAAAGATCTCTCTCCCAGAATCTGTGAGGTCTACTTCTGTGATACCGACTTCCCAGCGTCCGCCGTTTGGCACGCACTCCCCGCCGAATGCTCGTCCCACAATCTGGTGCCCAAAACAGATCCCTGATTTATTGCCGTTCAGGGATACTTCAAGTACTGTATTAGCACGATCTGCACGTACCAAAGATCTTCGCTTTGGGATACTTGTCCGGGATCGAGGCGACAAATGCAATCAATTTGTTGATCCATTCAAGATTCTCGTAGGCCGACGCCGCTATGATATAATAAGTTCGTCAGTGCAATAGGGAAACAAGTGATCCAGACCTGAACCAGTTATCAAGAAGGCATCGTATCCTTTATCTTTGGACGGATATTCTTGCTTCTTGGCAACATCGTAGGGATCCAATGTGAAGTCGACGCTCGTGTCGGGCAAAGATGAAGCAAGAAGGGTGAAGAAAATTTTATGATAGTCCCCATGGGACGAGAGCACTGCTGGTATGGGCGCATCGCAGATCAAGAGGGCGAGAGACTTGGTCATGGAATGCCAAAAGAAACAAAAACAAGAAAAATCTAATGCATCAAGCGAGAATTGAACTCGCGGCGGGTCGAAATGACCATTACCAGTGGCAACGACCCAGGTTACCACTACCCCATTGATGCTTGTCAATTCAGTATGGAGTAGACACCCATATTGGTGCCCAACATGGGCTTACATACTTCCAAGTTCGGGAAAGCTAATAAGCGCTTGTCGCAAACATAGTAATAGTACAGAGTACAGAGGTTGTACAAAGGTGGGTTCTATTAGTTGGAGGCTAATGGGCAGTACACGTTTATGAATGCTTGCTGATACAGAAGGGAAGGTACGTTGGTTGCATTGTGCCTTTTGCCTGCTTCCGTGACCTACCCGGTCGACATGCTCTGGCTTCGACTTGAGAGAGCGAGCCTCAGGCTCATCGTCTTCTACCAGCCAAGCTCTCCGAGGCCATTCTTCACTTCCTGCCAGAGCACAGTCTCCGCCACAATACCTTCGTTGCCACACCGCGCCTTTTCTGCCATAAAGGCGCCTCAGGACGATCTCTTTAACTATACATCAGGACGTTGGATGTAAGTCTTCTCGTCGTCCCAGTAGATGGATATCTGACTCATCGTCTCCGTCCCTCAGCTACAATGACGTTCTTCGTCACAAGGAGCGGAAGGCCACTTTCGACGTCGACGGGCTGTGTCGACTTGCAGCTGAGTCCGTGAACCAAAGTCTCACAGATGTCGTCAGCTTGTCCAAGCGGGCGGAGGGCGGTTTCAACCGCACCTTTGTCGTCACTCTACGCGACGGTCGGCAGGTGGTCGCCCGTATTCCCTACCCTGTAACGGCCCCAGACTACTACGCCGTTGCCAGTGAGGTGGCTACTATCGAGTACCTGCGGTCCTGCGAGATCCCTGCTCCAGAAATTTACGGGTATTCAGCCGACTCGGACAACCCCGCTAGAACGCCGTATATTCTTATGGACTTTGTTCAAGGCTCGAAACTCAGCGACGTCTGGCCCAGTCTCAGCGACCAGGACGTTATTTCCATCATCCACCAGCTCACTCAGCTCGAATCACAAATGATGTCGCTATCATTCCCCGCTGGCGGGAGCCTTTACTTTACCAGAGACCTCGAGAAGGTCGCCCGGGGGCTGAGCATACCGCTGGAGGACAAGCGTTTCTGCGTCGGCCCAGACACGAAGTTGGCGTTGTGGTATGGAAGAAGAACACAGCTGGACGTCAATAGAGGACCGTGTATGCCATTTTCTGCCTCTTCATATCAATATGTCCTCCAACTAATTGAACGACTACAGACCTCAACGCCGAAGAAGTCCTTGCGGCGGCAGCGCAAAAGGAGATCGCTTACTTGAAGCAGTTCGGACAACCGCTCCTGCCGTTGAGGCGGGAGAGGAGGCCTAGCTACAAGCTCCAGCCGCAGTCACCATTAGACCACGTCGAGAACTTGGAGCGGTACCTCAGCATCACATCGTCGCTCGTGCCTAGGGACCCCGCCCTCAGCCGTTTCCGCATTCGGCATCCAGACCTCCATCCCAACAATGTATTCGTGTCGCAGTCACCCGACTCCGGCTGGAAAGTCGCCAGCCTGTTTGACTTTCAACACACGTCTATTCTACCCATGTTTCTGCTTGCCGGTATCCCCCAACGCCTCCAGAACCACGCAGATAGTGTTTCGCAGTCCATGACGCCACCCTCACGCCCGGCGAACATCGACGAATTCGGCGAAGCCAAGCGAGCGAGCGAGGAGTACCGCTACCGTTGTCGTCTCGTGCACTATCACTACGTGACAAGCACAAAGGAGTGCAACCACCTCCACTTCGCTGCCTTCACGGACCCCCTGTACGCACTTCGTGGTCGCCTCTTCCTGCATGCTGGTGGGCCATGGGAAGGTGAGACCTCCGAACTGAAGGTTGCGCTCATTGATGCCGCGAAGGAGTGGGAGAAGCTTACAGGCGTAGGCGTGCCCTGTCCCCTCAAGTTCGACGCCAAGGACCTGCACGAGACCACGGTGCTAGTTGAAGAGCTGGGGAAGGCCAGCAGGGGCTTCGAACTCTTACAGTCCATGGGCGGCGTTGGGGAAGAGGGCTGGGTGCCGGCTGAGGACTACGAGTCTGCCGTAGCTTTCTTCAAGGGATGGAAGGAGAAGGCGTTGGCGGAGGCCGAGTCAGTGGAGGAACGGGACGAGATCATGGCTCACTGGCCGTGGGACGACATGGACGAAGAGATGTATATGTAACGAGCTGTCTTCGTCCTGCTGTATGATACTCGCCGGCATCACGCCCAACTCCACCGACCATACATATGTCCCAACCGGTAATCGTTGACAAGGACAATAAAACTTGGTAATAGCCTCACCGAGGACGGATGTGTCCTTTCACGCCACGGAGGCCAGTAGCTGAGATGTCGTGGCGGAGTGAAGAGACGGTCTGCTGAGATGACACCGCCATGTATAATAATAAAAGTAGTCAACGTTTCGATGGTGACCAGTACTAATACCACCCAGGACACAAGGGCTTGGGTGAGGCGAAGTAATTATTGGGGAGCTTGCTCCCCTATTTATCTGCGTGGGGGGTCCAAAAAACGTAGTGGCTGTGCATGCGCGTACGTGAGAAATGACCACCCCGTGAGTAAAACGGTCACCCCGTGAGAATATGCGCTGGTCTGTTAGCCTGCGCGCAAGGCGCTTGCTGTGAGCTGACTTTCAAAATGGTCACCCCGTGGGAGAATGCGTGCATTGCGCGTTGCGCTGCTTGCCAGCTGACTTTGAAAACTCCAGAACCTTAAACCTTCTGCGACGCTTTGAACGCGGTTACTGAGCCAACCGGAAAACGGTTATTTATCCAGAAAATTGCTGGATTGAGGATTGAGAAAACAAATGAAGTACACAAGCCAATGTATCAGACATCAATCATTAGGATTGCATGCCTGAGTAGATATTGAGCAATTACTTTGCTATCTCATCAATCATGCACAGTTCACAATTATAGGAACCTGCTGCCAAAGAAGACTCGTGGTACTAGGTACACATTGATGCCTCCTAGAGTAACGAGAATTAGATACGAGTTAAGGATTATCAAGAGATTGCCCAAAACCTGCTCCTGCTCCTGATGAGCCCCTAAGGGGCTATAGGGTCGTACATGTAAGTGTAAATTCTTCTTGCTACTGTTGAGTCTCATTTAGGATTAAGTGGCTAGAGCCAATGCTAAGTAATCAGCCATTAAAAAGAATAGATCTAGCAATACATGTGGTAGATGAAACAAATCTGCTGCAGATGTAGTTTTTGAAGAATAAGAGTAGGTGTAGTGCCATATGAGCCCTGTTCCTCTCACCATGACTGCATATAGGTAGTAGATATGCCAAAGAACAGATGACACCGTCTCTATCAGATTTTGACAGTCTTCTGAATGTTGAAACATCTGAGAGTCAGTGCAACATGCTGTTTCCTGACACCCCTAAGGGGTAAGGGGTATTATCGGTCATATATCAAAGGATTCCCAACCATAAACATAGAAGATACAAAGTTGGCTTCTATACAGGAATGTACCTCTAGAATTCAGGCAAAATTATGTGAGGAATCAGCAATATTTGTACTAGGCATCATACATGAGTTGTATCAATCATCATCACTGGGTGTACCCTTCAGATTACCTCGACATCTGCCCACTCGACCAGGTATCCACTGATCTTAGACTTCTGTCCCTATCCACAAAGAAAATGCACTAACACTCTGATCAGGCGAGCCCGCATGAATTAGGTGGGAATTCCCACGTAAAAACATATTAATGCAATGAAGAAACCTATAAACGGCGCACTCTAACAAAGCCTCAGCCATACAGCTTGAAGGCCCCGAAGCTCGCAGTGTTAAGACATTAAGACATTAGCGGAGCGTCAAACGTTAAGGATGGATGGATGGTATAACGTTCGGTGTCGTCGACAGGGGAGATAAATTATTATAAGTAACATTTAGATGTGTTGTCTACTTGGCCGTCGCGGTGCTGTTGAATGAGAGGTATAATTCGGCAATGGGTGAAGCGGATGAGGAATGAAGGGTCGAGGGTGGGGGACAAGCAAGTAGACGAACTCGCGACCGAAGCGTTTTCATAACGTCGCTGACGAGCTTGCACGCAAACCCTGATGGTACGCAAGCCGGCGCGACGCTGACTCTCAATGGCGCCATACATGGCAGTCAAAACCCTCTTCGACTACGCGCTACTCGCTTCTTCTCGTACGGCCTCCACAGCTCCCTCCCCAACACGCCGAAGGTCCGCTATCGAGCTCCAATCCGCATCTGCTGCCCCCGCCGGTCCTTGGTCCTCAGGCAGCGGAACCAATGCTTCCGGCGCCGCGCGAGCGTCCGCGTCATCCACATTACTCGAGCTCGCCTCAGGGCTCCGTGTCCCTGTACTGCGCACGGCCTGCCCAAAACCCGAAAGTGAAGGAAACGTGAACTCCCCGCTCTCTTTCTGCCCACCGTCATCTACCACCTGCTGCGAGCCGCTTCGCCGTATGCTGTCCGGTCGCTTGAGGATGGCGTCCGCAAGAACTGTATTCAGTTCTTCCTCCGCTCTTCCCTCAGCTTCCCTCTGCTGCGACTGACCGCCTGTCTCTATCCAGTCGTCTATTTCGCTGCCTTGCCAGAAACGTGCCCGCTGGCGACCTCGATTATATGCAGACTGCGAAGGGGAACCTGGGGCACCAAGGTCGGGCGACATGGAGCCAACAGACGACCTTCCGGATCTAGAAGGGCCACCAGCGGTGTTTGATTGATTGCCAGCGTATGGGAACAGAACGGAGAATAGGCTAGATGATGGGGGCGCAGAGGGGGGCGGTTGATTTGGGTGACCTGGAGTGGGAGGTGAAGACATGGCTGGATACGGGAACATATGCGAATGTGTGGATTGCGACAACGGTGATGGCATGGGTGAAAGCATGATGTTGCCTTGGACATGAGGGGCTACGTTAAGCCGAGTGGGAGAGGGTGCAGGCGAGGGCGTGTTCGACATCCGGAGATGAGGAGATTTCCCGTTCATGTTGGGGAGTTGGAGGTGGTGACCAGGGGGGAGAGGCGGAGGAGGGTGGCCTTGTGGTGACATCGACGCATACAAAGCTGTATAGGCTTG